TCTGATTTGACGATTATATATTATAACTGTATATAAAAAGAGAAATATTTTAGCACTAAATTCGTAGGAACACTTAACTTTTTAATATCATTTTACTCTTGTAAACTAGATCAATTTTCGGTTCAAATTTCTCTTCAACTGAACGAGCACAACTTTAAATAATATTAAAAAAAATATATTTTAATTAAAAAAATATATTAGTACCAAATTTGTCTGAGCAGTTAATTTTTAATTTTTAAAAATAACTTCTCTCTTATGAGCCGACTATTTGACTAACACCTAAGTTCTGTATATAATTCCGTATATAATATATATAAATTTTCAAAATTTTAATCATTTTTTGGAGCACCTAATGAGCACTTAATTCTGATGTATTTGTTTTATTTATTTAATAAGTATTTATTTTTTTTATTGGGAAGGTTAACTTAATATTAAGCTAGCCTCCCTCCCCCATTTTTCTACCAAACAGTTCGAGCACCTAATTTTGCACTTCAGCACCTAATTAGCACCTAATTTTAGAATATGTCAGAATTCATTTATCGCTGTTGGGGGGGGCTAGCTCAATAAGGGTAATTTATGAACACAGCCCAAGACAATCTTCGCTCTTTTTTTTAACATGTCCTGTTATTCAATTTTTTTCGAAGGCGATTATAGAGAAAGCCTTAGATGTAATAGAGGCAGCATCGACAGGTTCTCTGGGCGAAGTTTGTGTCACTACGGAGGGATTTAAATCTCTTCCAGCTGACGTCGCTTTGGATTCAAGGCGGTATGATATGGCACGTCAGAAAACTGAAATGACCGCTATGGTGCTTCGGAATCTCGGGACTGCTGAAGCGATGCGACGTAATGGTAAGTTAATGTGATGTTATGAGTTGTGATAGGGAATATTAAAGGGCTGTCTACAACGGGAGTAATAAGTTGGAAATTGTTAACCGTAAAGATCAACCAATCAGAATCAAATGTGAGTAGAATAATCGATTATAATTAATCAATCTCTTATTACTTACAACGCAATATTACTGCCATTGTAGACGATCCATAATGTGTCGTCTACAATATGTGGCTTCTGCCACATATTTGATGTGGAAACGTTTGCTACGTGGCAAAATGCGACGCAGTAACCAATTATTAGGTGTACAACTTTGCTTCCGCCGATTTTTTTCCGAAATTCGAGGCTTTATTGTAAAAAACTGGTTATACATTTATGATTCAAAGTATTGTCCATCGCTGGCTACTACTTTCTCCTATCTTTCGGGTAGCGTACGAATCCCGCGTCGAAAAAACTGGTCATCTTTTGAGGCTATCCACGAATCGATCCAATTTTTTACTTCTTCATAAGATCAGAAGTGCTGGTCAGCCAGGCCGTGTGCCATTGATCGAAACAAGCGATAGTCAGAGGGAGCAACGTCTGGAGAATACGGTGGATGGGATAGGACTTCCCATTTCAACGTTTCCAAATATGTCTTGACCACTTTCGCAACATGGGGTCGAGCATTGTCATGCTGCAAAATCACTTTATCGTGTCTCTCGTTGTATTGCGGCCGTTTGTCTTTCAATGCTCGGCTCAAACGCATCAATTGCATTCGATACCGATCGCCTGTGATTGTTTCAGTCGGTTTTAACAGTTCATAATACGCTACGCCGAGCTGGTCCCACCAAATACAGAGCATGACCTTGGAGCCGTGACTATTCGGTTAGGCCGTCGACGTGAAAGCATGGTCGGGAACTCCCCATGATTTTCTGCGCTTGGGATTATCGTAATGAACCCATTTTTCGTCCCCAGTCACAATGCGATGCAGAAATCCCTTCCGTCTTTGCCTTTCAAGCAGCTGTTCACAAGCAAACAAACGCCGTTCAACATCTCTCGGCTTCAATTCGTACGGCACCCAATTTCCTTGCTTCTGAATCATTCCCATGGCTTTGAGGCGTTTTGAAATGGCTTGTTGAGTCACTCCCCATGATCGTGCCAATTCTTTTTGATTTTGACACGAGTCTTGCTCAAGTAATGCCTCCAATTCTGCATCTTCGAAAACCTTCTCTCTTCCATCGCTATGTCGGTCTTCGACGTCAAAACCGTTCTTGGAGCGTTGAAACCACTCACGATACTTCTTTCACTAATAGCGGCCTCACATAAGTATTTTAGATCATTCGATGAGCATCAGCCGCAGATTTCTTCATATTGAAGCAAAAAATTAAAACCTCCCGCAAATGACGAGAATTTGGCTCGTAAACTGACATTTTCAATCGAGAATAACTTTATGATGCAGACACAAATCGACTAATGTTTCTATGGGGTTATGTTGACAGATGCCCAAGTTTATTGTATGACGTCTATGATCTATTTATTTCGACCACCATTTACCGCTAAAGCCATCTATAGGAAAACGGCGGAAGCAAAGTTGTACACCTAATAGAAAGTATTAGGAACTTATTGGTCATTTCCGCGTCTAGTGAGGGAACCATAAACTTGGTATAAAAAGTAAGAGCAAGAAACTTACTAATCATAGTCGATTATTTTTCAGTCATATTCTATTATGATTGTTCAATTTCTTACTCTTATTTCTTATACTAAATTTATTCTGCATATATTGTAGGCGCGATGCATAAGGGATTACGTTCATTCATCAGAATGCGACGTACGATCAAATATCTAAAGTATACTGCTTAACGAAAAAAAAAGAAATACAAACATGACAAATGTGATCCAAAATTAGTGCTTTCAATCTAGTTTCCTTACTCTACCTGTCATTTAATTGGCAGCACCTGTTGCGCGAACAATGCGCGCGTTGAAAATGATTGTTGAACATGACTGATATACGGCCGAAGATATTAACGAAATTACATAGCTCTTTTAGACGCTCTGACCAAGTCTCTGCTGATGTCGGTGGATGACGCTGTAGAGGCAAGGGTGATTGCGCTCAATGCGTCTACTGGCACGGTGATCACCGCGGTGTGGCTGAAACGTAGTCCTGGAAGCGTCGGTGAGCCTTCAAAGGTCGAGAGTCACGCGGTCCAACTCGGATCGCAACCGGATCCTAGCTTACCGTGGTTTGAGAACGCAGGTAGCAGCGCTGGATTAAGGTTCGCGTTATATAATTCGCACTGTGTATCTACAGAAGTCAAACTTTCTAAAACCTTCCATCATTCCATTGAACGTCAATAATGTTACACGATGGTCCGTTACATATAAATGCTAAAGAAATAATAATTCTACATAAGAGAAAAAACTAATTTTTTAATTCTACTTTTGATTTTCTCGAAAATAAGGTCCTGCGTAAAATATTTTGCGTTTTTAATATATCTTTTTTAATAACATTGTTTTCTTTTTACAAGAGGTATTTAATCAACGCTATTCACATTTTCTATTAACTTTTAATTTATATTTCATATTATCTTTTAATTATTTTAATAATAACAATTGTTAATAAAATTGGTATCATTATTTTTTATTTTAAAAATATTTTCATCGATATGTGAACGATTAGATATAGATGTCCTTGACAGTATTTCCAATAAGGACTATCTTATGGACTTATTCTTGAAAAATATCGCACACAAAAATATTGTAGTATAATATGCATATCATGGATATTATGGATTTTTGTATATACAAAAGATATACAGTCGATTTCACGCTATCATATCGCTGCACACGTTTTTCTTAACGCTGAGGCACGTATCTTCGAGTATAGATTTAAAACTGTAGGCCCTGTATTTATTTCTAAAAATGTCAGCACGCACGCACGCATGTACACGCACTTTGTCGGCACTGTTTTGCAATTTGTCACGTTCATATTTAAAATGTTGTTTTTTTTCTGTTTTTACTGCAATATAAAAATAGAAAGATACGGGTCTGTCCATAAGAAGAAATTCAATCTTATTGGGTGCTTTTCACCTATAATGTAGGAATGCGCAAAAATCATCGACGTTTGGAATACATTTACTCATTAGTTTTCAGACGTTTTAACTTTGATCTTGATAGATGTCAAGGTCATAATCCTCAGTAACAGGTTTTAATCATCGCTCGTTATTAATTAAAAAAATTGTTAAAAGCAAGAAAGACATAAGAAGAGGCATAAGAAGAAAAATTTTAAAAAATAACGTCTTTTTTCTATTATATAGGTCATAGTGAGTTCCATTTTTTGGTAAATTTTACTTGTGAAATAAATCTGGCAATCCGCGCATGTGATTGGGAAAATCTTGCTACTTATCCAACAGGTAAAATTTAAACAGGTAAAATTTACCAAAAGATGGAACAACCAACCTATTATAGAAAAAAATTTTCTATTTTAAAATAAATTTTTTGCTTTAAAAATAAAAAAAAATTTTTGTTCAATGCTTCATGAAAACTGTCCTGTAACAGGAGAAAGATGATGTGGAAGTCGCGTGCTCCTAAGCAAGGGGGGAGTTGGGATAGACCATGCCTCAGAAAGTTGTACTTCCCTAATGGATCCACCTTAAATCTTTCATCTGCCTAGAGTTATCCAACTTTTCATACAAAGCAGAAACATAATTAGCAACTTTTGATTGTTAACTTTTTAACAGATAACAAGCGATGGCTAAAACTTGGGATAGAAATCGCTTTACATGGAAAGTCATACAAGAGGGGAGTCGTGCATTCCTATGCGTATATAAAAACAAAAATTATATAAGAAAATATTATTTTTGAAGAAAATTTATGTTTTTAAAGTAAGAAATCTATTTCAAAGCAGTAAACTTTTGTTCTATATAGTAAAAATAAGGCATTATTTTTTTAAACTTTTCTTCTTAATAAGTTTTTAATGAATAAGGAGCTAAAACTTGAAAATTACTTAGAATCGTGACCTTGATAACATATGTTAGGGTCAAGATCATAAAGGAAGATCTTCTATTCGGTATAATTACTCAAAATATCGACAATAAAAGTAGATTTTATGTTATAATAAATTATCAAATATTGACAGTAAATCTGTTTTCTATACTGAATTAGTTTTATGCTTTTGGAACTTAAAGTTAAATAAATATATGCACTGAGAGAAAAATATACTAAATTTTAATAAATAAGTATTCGAATATATTAATATAACATTTATTTACAGAAAATAAATATTATTTGTTAAATAAAATCTAATCTAGGTGAATCAAATAAATATTTATTTATTTTTAGTAAATATTCAACTGGCATATTCGAATAAATATTTATTAAAATTTAGTATTTTCTTCTCAATGTGTTAAAATTATATGATTGAGAAAGTTAGATTGTTACTTTCGATGTTTTCGACTATTTGTGTGTATCTTTTATATATTTTTAATTCAATACGTTTATAATAATGTATAGGCTTGCCTATTTATTTTGATTAATTTTGATAAATTTAAAATTATTTTATCAATTTTATCATTTTATTTTATCTCTTCGATCTAAGAATAGATAATGCTGTCATTTTACTTTAGATTTTCGTGTCTTCTAGGAATTCTAAATACTGCCAGTAGCGCCAGCAGAAAACCAGTTTGATCATGAGTGTTTTCGATAATTAATTCAAGTTTAATTTAATTCTATCATAGGACTAAAAAATATGATATAGACATAATCACCTACCTTTATAATTCATGACAACTCAAAGTTGTCTTATATGCCATTGAATTGAATTAGTTAAGGCAGCGATGATTACAGAAGCAATAAAAAGAAATTTCACAAAATTTTATTAGATGTGCAACTTTGCTTCCGCCGTTTTTTCTGAAATTCGAGGCTTTATTGTAAAAAACTGATTATACATTTATGAGTATTCATCAAAGTATTGTCCACCGCTGGCCACTACTTTCTCCCATCTTTCGGGTAGCGTACGAATCCCGCGAAAAAACTGATCATCTTTTGAGGCTATCCACGAATCAATCCAATTTTTTACTTCTTCATAAAACCGGAAGTGCTGGTCAGCCAGGCCGTGTGCCATTGATCGAAACAAGTGATAGTCAGAGGGAGCAACGTCTGGAGAATACGGCGGGTGGGACTTCCCATTTCAACGTTTCCAAGTATGTCTTGACCACTTTCGCAACATGGGGTCGAGCATTGTCATGCTGCAAAATCACTTTATCGTGTCTCTCGTTGTATTGCGGCCATTTGTCTTTCAATGCTCGGCTCAAACGCATCAATTGCGTTCGATACCGATCGCCTGTGATTGTTTTAGTCGGTTTTAACAGTTCATAATACACTACGCCGAGCTGGTCCCACCAAATACAGAGCATGACCTTGGACGTCAAAATCATCGTTCTTGAAGCGTTGAAATCACTCACGACACGTTCTTTCACTAATAGCGGCCTCACCATAAGTATTTGAGAGCATTCGATGAGCCTCAACCGCAGATTTCTTCATATTGAAGCAAAAAATTAAAACCTCCCGCAAATGACGAGAATTTGGCTCGTAAACTGACATTTTCAATCGAGAATAACTTTATGATGCAGACACAAATCGACTAATGTTTCTATGGGGTTATGTTAACAGATGCCCAAATTTATTGTATGACGTCTATGATCTATTTATTTCGACCACCACTTACCGCTAAAGCCATCTATAGGAAAACGGCGGAAGCAAAGTTGTACACCTAATATGAATTGTGAGATGCCAATATACTTTTATTAATTTATACTAACAAGGGGAACACTAGACGGAGTCGGAGATTTTGATGCGTTTTTTATAAACTATTGTTGAGCGATATGTATCCAGCTGTTTTTCAGCCATTCGCCCATAGTTTCGAAGAAATCGATTTTTAAAATAATTATTGTAAGAATTTGGAAAACGTATTAATATATGAAAATATATCTTTATAAATTTTTATCTTTATAATAGTTACAACATAAATAAAATATGAAAAACAATTATTAAAAAATGACCAA